GGCCCTGGCCGAGCGGCGCCGGCCGAGTGGTGCCAGCCCCGGTCGCTCCAGCCCAGCTGGGCTTGGACCCCGGTTCTGGCCAGTGGCCAAGCACCCCCGGACCCACCGAGCAGCTCCGGCCTGGCCCTGGCCGAGCGGCGCTGGCCAAGCACCCCCAGCCCCATCCCCGGTCCCAGCGGCTCCAGCTCGGCTCGGGCCCCGGTTCCAGCAGAGCGGCTCCGGCCCAGCCCCGGCCGGCGGCCGAGCCCCCCCGGCCCCACCGGCCCCGGCCGAGCGGCGCCGGCCGGCGGCATCCCAGCTCACAGCCGCCTCCTCTTGGGCTCCGGCTGCTGCTGCGCTGGGGAGAGCAGTGGGAGCCGGGAAAGTTGAACCCCGGGGAGGAGGCGGTCCCCTTACCATGCCTCCCTATTTTCCCGGACATGTTCGGCTTTTTGGAAATTCCTCCCGGACGGGGATTTGAGGACTAAAAAGCCGGACATGTCCGGGAAAATCCAGACGTATGGTAACCCTAATTTATAGACCACTAGCTATGGAAGGTGTTGGATTGAACATGTTGAGAGGAATGATATTTTCTCATCTCCTAATTTGTGTTCCTACTGAAAAATCTGATCAGAGGTGGAAAGTTCCCAATTGGTACTCACATGGTCTTTTGATGGTGGCATAATGCGAACTGGGATGGGTTGCCAAAGGATCTGGGGATTCCAGATCTGGTTGCCCACTGGGGGAAAGAGTCCGGCGAGATATACCTGAGCGCTCATAATGGTTCGATCATAATCTGTGCTTTGAATGAAAATCTGAAAGTAAAATGACAAATATTTTTTTCCTAATAATTAACAAGAGGGCAATTTTATCCAAATTCCCATTCCATGCTTCCCTCTTTTCCTTTCTCCTGTTTTGCATAAATAACAAAAGGTGAAATTCACCCTTGTGCAGAGGGCTAGCAGTAGATTCGTGCACCACTTAAGTCACACTTAAGTCCTGTTTCTAGGAATCTACTTCATCAGTCTAAATGGAATTTCTCGACGGCACCTTTTACCTTGGAATCTAAACACTGAAAAAAATTATGAATAAGCATTAAAATCTAGATTAAAAAATCATTTATTCGTTCCTCTGAGATTCAAGCATGTATCGGCATAGGAGCTGGAACTAGAGGCGCGGGAGGTACTGCAGCACCCCCGGCTTGAAGTGGTTTCTATTATATACAGGGTATACAGTTTGGTTCAATGGCTCTCAGCACTCCCACTATAAAAATTGTTCTGGCACCCCTGTGTATAGGTTTGTATGTTTAAGATGTGTTTTAAATTACTTGTGTGTGCCATTTCTGGGGCAAGGTTGACAGTTTACACCTGGGCGTTTGCTGATACTGCCTTCATTCCCCTGCCCATCATAGTTCACAGTATACCCTATTACTTCCATTATATACATTTTTTGCAATAAGAATTTTCTCAGCTAATAGGCCCCTGATTAGGATATCATCCGAGTATCAGCCTTTTCAGCCATGCTTACAGCATTTCTCATCTTCAACCTCATCCATTAGCCCAGTGGAGCAGGATTTTAGGAAAATGTGGGACTGTAATGCAGTTTCCCTCCCTCTCTTGTGACTTTCTGAAATTCTGTTAACCCTTTATATGATGTGCTCTATGGCCAGAATTTTCAAATTTAGGTGCTTAACGTTAGGTTCCTTAATTTATATTTATGCATCTAATTAAATGGCCTGATTTTCAAAAATGCTGAAATGTTGTTAACCTTATCTCTTGCTTTAATATGGTAGGGTTTTTTTTGACCCAGTAGTACAAGTCTCACAGTCCAATGGTGCAAGAGAACTTTTCTTCACACAAATTCTGATGCTTACCTCATTCCGGTTATATGTGGCATTCAAGAAGTTTGAGTATCTTTTCCGCATATACTGTCCAAGCTCATATTGCTGCTGCATTCCAATCTGTGTGGACAGCAGTACAGGTGAGTGTCAGTTTAAGGTGGTTGTGAAACTTTAATACAGCTTTTCTTTCCACTCTTCCTTCTGTCTTCAGTGAATTTTTCAAGTGATCATTAACCATTTTTATGCCATATTGTATGCTTTGTGCATGTTTAAATCTTGTTTTTCAATGGGAACGTTCACTTATATCCATAAACTAGTATCAGTATACTAGGACACTATACTTTCTAAGATATTGAGGGTGTTAATAGTTAAGTCATAGTTTATGTCCTGCTGTGAGAGATGTTGGGCCTGATTCTACTCTCACTTAGAGCTTTCATACTGATGTAACTCCACTGACTTCAGCAGAGTAATTCCTGATTTACACTGTAAGGTGTGTGTGAGGAGAATCATGCCCAGTAAGTTGAGTGGTAAGTTAGTGCCAAATGAGTGTGTTTGTTTATTTGATTCAAATACTTATGAAGAAAATGATTTGCTTATTCATAGTAACTCACTGTTACTAAATTATTGATCTGACTCCTGAGTTTTTAGCTTGACTCTCATCCCAAGATACATTCTGCCATCTTGTTTTGGTGTAACAGCAGCATGTCTTGGAGTGGTATTCTATCTGTTCTATTAGATCTCTCCAAGACTGTGGGTAGGATCCCTTAACCTTTAGCAGCCAAACAAGCACTTTTATTGAACTGGAGTCTCAGAGATCCACAAAAGAATTTCACATACTTAGAATAAAAAATAATGAATGGAACATTTCAAAATTATTAATGAAAATAAATTAGAGCAGCTTTCTACAAGCTAAGAAAAAGAAGTTTTTTCTTATCTTAAATGGATTGCCAACACAAATATAGGTCTAACCAGCATGATTATGTATTTTTTTTTAATTTAATTTGCCTCTTATCTGAATACAGCCACATCATCAGGAAGGTGTGCAATACCTTCCCCCTAGGCTGAGTCACATCTCTACCTATAAAGAGCCAGATGGAATTTAACACCTACTGGTGAAATATCACTGCATTAAAGGTTTAATTTATGAATTACACCTACCCGGTTAGTTGCTAATATTTTGTCAGTCACAGATCAGACACCTGCATAATTTTTATTGCATTAATGTTCTAATTTCTGTGAAAAGCCAACAAACCTTGGTAAGCTGTCCAAATCCCTGTGGCCATTCGCTTTCTTTGTGTAGACCAGTTGGAAAGTTTTCAATTGGGGTTCGGTCACCATGTCGAAAAACCTAGTCAGATGAATCAAAGACTGAATTAATTCCCTTTGAGTTTCCTTTTTACTTGTCTGGAAGACTAGCATATCATTTTAGTCCTAGCACCTCTTGGGGAATCCAAAGAACTGGAGAGTCTGCAGAAACACCGGTCAACCCATCAAGTCTGATTGAAGTATATATTAAGATATTGAGATATCATTGTGGTGCCCACTGAACTGTGAATAGGAACAGTCCGATGATTTTTCCCACATAGGACATAAAAGTATATTGGCCAAAATTTTGAAACCCAGATGCAAGAGGTAGGCATCCAAAGCCATATTTAGGCACCTAAACAAGTGGCCTGATTGACTTGAGAATACTCACATCTGAAAACCCGACCACTGATTCAGGGGCCTAAATATGGATTTAGGTTCTTAGCTTTGGCTAAGTAAATAGTAAATACCTACTGATATTAGTAAATATCTACTGACTGCTATCCCCTCCCCACACACACACACACTCTTGCATAAGGGCAAGGCATAATCTGGCTCCATTGGATCTAGATACTAATATACATTATCTCAATGTTACTTCCTGTTTTGGTCACCTCAGATGACGGGACTGTTCTTAAAAGTTTGAATTCAAGAATTTGTTTCCATTAACCCTGAAAACAGGGGGTATTGAATTTTTTGCCCTTACATATGTCTGAAATGACTGGTATGCCATGTAAATCTGATTGATTTAAGAAGGTACCTACCTAGATTTTGGGTGGACTTGGAGTGAAATCCTGGCCCTTTGAAGTCATTGGGAGTTTTGCTATTAACTTCAATGGGACCAGGATTTTACCCTGAGAGTTTGGTCCCTCTGATAAGCAGAACACGTGAGCTACTGTGCATGCACATGCAAGGCAAGTGGTGACATGAGTCATGCATCAGAGGGCATATATGATTGCTTTTGTGGTCTTTTTATTCCAGTGTACAAAGAAAGTGCCAGCCCTACATATTCTGTTCTAAATAGCTCTGAATAACTCTGAATTTCCCTTGCCAACTCGCTCATACTGTAGGGTCACAAAAATGCCTCCCACCAAACCCTCCCCCCATTTTATCCTGTACCCCATTTAAAACAATCTCAGACTCATTCCCTGACTTTGCCTTTGCAGTACTATGGACTAGATGCTTCTTTGAGAATAAATGCATCACACTTCCACAAAGCAATTTGATTTTGCAAACAGCTTCATTATAAATAATACTTTCCACTGCTACTGCACCTTTCATCCCAGAAACTCACAAAACTTTACAAATATTAAGTAAGTCCCCCAGTGCCCGATGTGAGGTGTATTATTATTATTTATATTCACTTTACAGATGGTAACCTAAAGCATGCAGCTTTTAACCACTGCCCTAAAAGTGCCAGTTACCATGCCCACCCTTCCTGGTAGCCCTCTAGACCAATATCCACAAACACCAGGTGGTAAGGTGAGTGTTAAAAATAAAGAAAAGCTGCCAGTCCTTTAAGGTGAATGTAACTGTATTTTTACCAATTCAGAGTTCATCTTGCTAGAGTAGATGTCCCGACTAACACCTAAAGCAGTATAAAGAAGCTTTCTGTAAGGTGCTAATGTTGTGAATAAATGTTGCAGAAGAAACACAGAACCCTAAATTCCTGAACTCTGGTGTTGGGATGTAAGCAAAGGAGAATCTGATTTTCAATATAATGTTTCATATCTATATGTAATTTTTAATTCCACACTTTTTTGTTACTGATTTAAAATCTTAAAACAGTGTTTTCAATCCCTTCTCAGGGTTCCTCTAATGAACAAGATAATTAAGTAAAGAGCTGTGTTCCCTGATGATTGAATCAAGTGGACAGGGTGGGAAAGAATGTGGGACACTTGCATCTCTGCTGGGGGGATGGGGAAGAAAAGTCGTTTGTTTCTTTGGCCAAATATTTGTCATGTTGACATACCACAGGTCTCTTGTGGGATTAATTTGCTCTTTTAGAGAAGCAGATGGCTTTGCTAAGAATGAAGATTAAATTCCCAATTAAAAGGCAGCTATGTAATTTGCATGCAACTGAAAATATAACTTCATAGCAAGACATTTTTTTCCTAATTTTAAGCCCAGACCAACTCCCATTGAAGTCAGTAGAAAGACTTCCGTAGACTTCAATGACTGTTGGCTCGAGCCCTTGATACAGAAGCATGCCTTATTTGTTAACTAGTAGCAAGTCACTAAAATCATGGTAGATTTGTAATAGTAGCACTCAGCATCCTGAACTCTGTATGCAACATAACTTCTTGCACACTCTTCAGTTCAAAGTTCTCTCCTTCAAGAACATTTATGGTGCTGAGTAAAACAGCATTGTAGCTCTGTCTGGGTGGGTAAAGAACGGGAACGTGCGAGGGAGTTTTTAAGATGAAAACATATAAACCAGTGTCCTTTCTGTTCGGTGTAGATTAAAGAAACCTTTTTCAGAAGAGGAGGGATTTACCCTCTTCTGAAAAGTTTCGTGGCTTCTTTAAGTCCACACAAAGCAGAAAAGACCTTGGTTTGTATGTCTTCATCTAAAGATCACTGCATAGCATAAACTTTATGTAACTCCATTTCTCTGTATTGGAAGGGTGAAGAGCTGAATAAAGACTACTGAGGCCTAAGCCCATGGGTCTTGGAAGTCACAACAGAGGAGGAGGTTGAGTTTATAGGTTTAACAAAAACAAATTGCCTCCCAAAACTGGAGTGTTTGAACAATATTTATAAACGGGGTTTCCTTCCCTTTTGTCCTTATCTTGTTTCCATCTTTCCAGAGATGGGCCCAAGCCAAAACGCTGCATTCGAATGACTCCCCCAAGTTTGTAGAAGTTTGAATCTGAACTTCACAGCTAGGATCCATCTCTCCTTGCATAACTCAGAGCACAGAAGATGGCAAGTGTGGGCAGAACCATAATGCACAAAAAAGAGCAGAAGGGGAAATTGAGTGGGTGGGGAACATCTGGTATTGTCCATTGGAAAACATAGTAAATTATGCGCTCACTCTGTGCCATACTAACCCCAACAGAGAGATCATAGAGAGAGTGGGGAGGCAAAAGCAGTATGGCAATGAAACCAGCCATGCTACCAGTGCCAGGAAATCCACAGAGGCTGGGAAGTTGAGCAGGTTTGCTCAAGGTTCCAAAGTGTTTGAACTATTATTGTTCCTGGGTTCTTTGCCTGTGTGCCACACCCCTGTGCCTCTTCTCCAATGCTGCCTATCCTGTGTTACAACAGGGAGGATTTGGCGCAACTTCAGCGTCTCAGAAATGACTCACCTTTTGGGCGAGTGACTTCTTTCCTAGATCCGTGGGCGGGGACTATATGGCTCTATGAATCTGTGATTTATAGATGCAATGTCTTAGAAGTTCATTTCTACCTAATGGGATTCTGCTAGATATTTCCCATTTTTTCTACCAGATCTCATTTGACATTCAGCATCAGGGCCCTGCACACCAGCTTCAGTGGAGGTTAAAGTTTACACGTCAGAAGGAAAGTCAAAATAGCATTTTGATAAAATGGCTTAAATTATTCCTGTTCAGTGAAAAGAACTAGTGGTTTGTAAAACACAAAGTGCAGAGTCAGCGCAAAGGTGAAAGTCAGCTGGAGAAAGCTTGGCAGCTTTTCAGAATGTGGCAAAGTCCTGAAAGTAAGAAAGGGAAACATTTGTCTTGTTTACTGCTGCAGGTGTGCTTTATGCTGTGAGTTGCTGCTAGGAGGGAAAAGTAATAAGAAAAAGAAAGGGGTGAAAATGGTTTCCATTTCGGCACATCATTTCAGTATATCGTTCAAACTCAAATCAGTGAGCCCAGGAGACAACACTTAAAAGATAAGAATTCAATCCAGTGAAGCTGTGCCAGGGAAGGGGAAATATACTCTGGTGGTAAGACCCAGATCTATAGAAATTGTATAGCTGATTGCTCAACCAGCTAAAGGGTAACTGGAATACTAGAATAATTTAGCCTTTATCTGAAAAGGAGGAGAATTTACATGAAAATTCTCTGGAATAGCAATTCTTGTAAGTAAGGAAATAAATTAATAAAATGGGGTATGCTATCCTAGAAATAAATGGAGTACTATGTTCTTTTTTAGTGGGTGGGAGAAAGTGAATGGAATAGAGGTAAAGAGGTGGTTCTTAGATATTAAGGACTTGATTCTCCAAGAAAGTGAGCACCTACTATGAATGGCTCTGCAGAGCTCTCAGTTAATAAATTGGGTCAGGACATCAATTTGTAGAACATAGTTACACCTATTCAGCTCAAGCTTAAGTTGCTTTAGAGTAGTGGTCCTCAAACTATGGGGCGGGCCTCCCAAGGCATGAGAAAGTGTCAAAGGAGGTGCGAGCTGTATCCTTTTCTTGGGGGGGTGGGGTGGGGGGGAAGAGCTCTGGCTGTCAGTCACGATTAGCTGGGGCTCGTGCAGAAGGGCCATGCACATCCAGGAGGTGGGGATAAAGGGGACAGCTGGAGTCCTGGCAGCCTGGGGCTGACAGATGGAGCCCCAGCCTCTTCTTCCCCACCCCACGCCTCAATCCCTCACCGAAAGCAGCCTTGGGATCTTCTTCCCCCCCATCCATCACATGGAGGTGGTGGGGCTCCAGCTGCCAGCGTTGTGGGAGCAGCAGCAGCGCAAAAATAAGGGTGGCAGTGGGACTCTAAGTCTGCTGTGAAAGGTGATATTGATGAATATCACTTTTCACATTGACACCCAGTGGTGCTGGAACAGTTTTTAGAGTGGGAGCAGGTCCATCAGAGGGGGAGTCAGGAGGACCATTTGGCCTGGGCCTCAAGCTTAAAGGGCGCCTCAAAGGAATTGCTTCAAGAAATACTCAAACTTGGACTCTGGGATGTTTCCTAATATCACAATTGCATTGTGTATTTTTGTCAGTTTGCCTTCATCAGTGGCTTCAGGTGAAAGCACCTTCAACATGTTATAATAATATATAACAATAATAATAATAATAATAAGCAGTGTTGAAGCAGGTAAAGAACTAGCACTGTTCAACTATGGGACAAGAGCATTTGAATGGGCTTGCTATGCTTAATATCAACTGTGATATTGCATGAAAGATAGATTTTTCCTCAATAATTAGTGCATTTGCACAGACAAAGGCTAGAAAAGCATTTGTTAAATAAAAAATATTCAAATTATGTCTCACTCTTTTTTTGGTGCCTTATTTTATTTTCAGTGGGCTGTAGTCCACGAAAGCTTATGCTCTAATAAATTTGTTAGTCTCTAAGGTGCCACAAGTACTCCTGTTCTTTTTGCGGATACAGACTAACACGGCTGCTACTCTGAAACCTTTTTTATTATTATTATTATGGGTAGGGGCCTCAAAAGCTGGAAGTGGCCTGGGCCTCTCTGGACCTCTGAGAGGGCCTGAGTGGGGATGCTGAGCTGTGCCCCCCGCTTACCCCTGTCCCTACAGTTGGGGTTGGGAACAGGGTCATGGCTTCGGGAGGGGGGACACGGACAGGGGTAAGGGGGCCAAGGCTGAGGCCACAGCAGGGGGTGGGTGCGGAGGTTAGGGCCAGGAGAGGAGCCCTGGGTACAAGGCCAGAAGCAGAGCCCCAGACACGGGGCCAGCAGCCAGGACCCTGCATACGCAAAACCTAGGGGTGCTGCAGCAACCCCACAGCTCTACTTCCCACACCTATGTTGCCACTCTTCTGTGTTGCTGCTGGTGTGCACTGCCTTCAGAGCTGGATGCCTGGCCAGCAGCCGCTGCTCTCCGCTCTGCCTTCAGAGCTGGGTGGCGCTATATGTACTTGGGGGGCGGGGGTGCAGGGACATAAATGACTACAGACACAAAGAAGGGGGGCCCGATCAATACGTTTGAGAACCACTGCTTTAGAGAGTTCCTTTCTCCAGATGTGCCATCTGCCTGATGCCACCTACGCATTCAGTGCTCTTTCACTCACTTTAATACTCTTAAATATTCCTATATACATGCACTAATGAATGGGACAGATTTTGAACATGTTGCTGAAAACAGAACTTGGATCTCTTTTTTGCCTGGTGCCTGATCCATCTCCCTTTGAGATTCCCACTGAAGTCAATGGGAGTAGGATAAGATGTTCTGGCCCACGAGCCAAATGGTTCTCCTACTAACGTCAGCCAATAGAGACATAAGAAATATCACAGATTCTTTCTTTGGCACAGACAGTAGAGTAAGCACACAATAGGTCATACTGTTTTCTCTACATGGATCAGTAAGTGCTCATTGGGAACTGTGGAAGGTATAAGAATGTTTGGATAACAGAGTTTCTTGGAAACAACACTTTAAAGAACACTTTAAACTGAATCTTCTTTATCACTGCCACCCGTACATATATTTAAAAAGAAAGATATAAAGCTTCAAAACATACTATTTAAATTCCAGATCCATTGGGGGGAAAGCCTCCCCTAATCTGTTGAGGGGAAATGGATGTTATATTGTCATTCTATAGACTTTAAAACTAGAAATGAGCATGAAAAATTGTTGCAGCCAGTTTCCAAATTCATCCTAGTTAATGCAGCATGTACATCACAACACTGTATAAATGAAGCTTCATATGCCTCTGCATGCTGCTGGGCCAATTCAGCTGTCATAAGAAATAAAATACATGCATTTCTAGCATGCCTTCCATTTGAATTTACCTTTGAAACACCTATGAGCTAAGCAAGTATCCTCAATTCTACAGATGGGAAAACTGAGGCAAATAGAAATTGACAGGGGCACACACAGGATGGGAGGGACAGACAAGGATAGAACCCCAATCTCTTGACTGCCATTCATGTGCTTTAAACACACATTTTGGGGGTTCTTTTATCTTGTAAAAAATCTTTACAATTTGACTTATTTTATCTTCATTAAGATGAGCCTTTAAGGCTTGATTGTAGGTACATAGAAATGCCTACAATATTTCTTTCCTTGTGGAATCTGTACAAAGAGGGGTTGAAATCTTACATTTTTATCAATTCAAGGAACACCATACTAAAATCATTACCAGCGATTAAATGAAGAGGCCATCTACTTACGGCAACCACACATTTCAGCGTTCTTTCTGCAGCAGTTTGGTGAAGCAGAATGAGAAAAAGACTAAAAGCGAAGCAAAAACTCCTGGACCTGCATGGAAGCCGTGTCGTTCCCATCGTGGCAGCAGCTGGAAAAGCTTTGTAGCTACAGTAGCTCTTCAGGTTTATCAACCTGAAGTGAAGCTGTACTTTCAAAAGGACAAAAGGGGTGGATCTGCTTCCTGTGCATTTCAAATGCAGGAGAAACTTGGGGGTGATTATGTAACACATCTATCCTTTTAAATCATTTTCTTTCGAGGTTGCTGTTTACATTCTTTTTAACCTAATTCAGTGTTGCCAGAAGGCAAGTAAAAAGAATGCCAAATCTATTATTTTTACTAACTCTCATGATTTTAAGACCAATCTCATGATTTTTGGTGAGCCTGCCTCATGAGTTTTGAACATTTGGGGTTGACAATAGTGTGGTTTTGTTTTTTCCCATGTGATTTGGGGGGGAGGGGTTAAAAATAAGGGGGTCATCATTCCATAAATAACCAGATTTGCAGATTTTTGCATCTCTGCTTTGTCTATATTTTTCAGTTCTTGGACACTTTACAGGAGGCAGTACGGCCTGGAGGAATAAGCATTGGACTAGGAGAAGGGCAATCCTCAGTTTCCCTTTGCTCCCTCCCAGTCACCTCTTCTCCCCCTTCACCACTATTTTAAGCCCTTCTTCCATTCCTCCACCATTCTCCTCCTACACTCTAACTCAACTTCCCACAACCATGTCAAGCTACTTTTTAAAAATAATATAAACAAAAACTAAAATATATTAAAACTACCCTGTTCCCAACAACTGTAAAATAACCTCCTAGATGCATGTGCAGCTCTCAGAGCAACAGTACAGTAGAACCTCAGAGTTACGAACACCAGAGTTACGAACTGACGGTCAAATACACACCTCATTTGGAACTGGAAGTACACAATCAGTCAGCAGCAGAGACAAAAAAACAAACCAAAACCAAAACAAAATACAGCGTTAAATGTAAACTACTAAAAAAATAAAGGGAAAGTTTAAAAAAGATTTGACAAGGCAAGGAAACTGTTTCTGTGCTTGTTTTATTTAAATTAAGATGGTTAAAAGCAGCATTTTTCTTCTGCATAGTAAAGTTTCAAAGCTGTATAATGCCAATGTCCAGCTGGGAACTTTTGAAAGAACAATCATAATGTTTTGTTCAGAGTTATGAATGTTTCAGAGTTACGAACAACCTTCATTCCCGAGGTGTCCCTAACTCTGAGGTTCTACTGTATGATTTTGTACTTGTAAGTACTGGCCTCACTTTCTGCTGCAAGCCTATTCTACCCTTTGAATCTGTTTGTGTTCTGGCTTATTTAGGCCCCAGTCCTGCAATGAACACTGTGTAGGTGGATCCCTGAGCTCACACTGAGCCCACTGCAGAATCGGGGCTATAGATTGTGATCAATTGGATGCAGACTGTGCCTGTAAAGTGCCAAGTACATTTTAGACACGATACAAACAACAAACAATAATTACAGTTCTGGTTCTGAAATGGCTGTGAGCAGGTTGCTTAACCTTCCTGCCGTGGCTTTCCCCTCTATAAAATAGGGACAATGATGCTTTCACACTCACCTCCCAAGGGCTGTGTGCAGACTAATTAGTTAGTGTTGGCAAAGTGCTAAAAAAGCACTAAGTATTATTATTGGTAATGATTTCTTGGGAATTGTCCAAAGTGCCCCATTCCTATCACTCCCAAACATGCCTCAGTGTCCTCCATTGAGCTCCGGCAGTAGTGATCTGAGGACGGAGTACAAAGCACACCTTACCGTTTTAATTTTAGTTTAAAATGTATCAAGAGGCTATATGTATCCTATAAGTCACAAGGCCTTCAGAGCTCCATCTGGTGACGGGGTGCGGAAGGGGTTTCAGGGTGCAGGCTCTGGGCAGCACTTACCTCAGGTGGTCCCGGGAAGCAGCGACATCTCCCTCTGGCTCCTAAGCGGAGGCCTGACCATGTGGCTCTGCGCGCTGCCTGCGCCTACAGGCACTGTCCCCTCAGCTCCCATTTGCCACGGTTCCTGGCCAATGGGAGCTGTTGAGCTGGCGCTGGGGGCAGCGTGCATAGCCCCTGTTGCTGTCCCTCTGCCTAGGAGTCAGAGGGAGATGCTGGCAGCTTCCCAGGAATCACGCAGAGCCGGGTAGGGTGCCTACCTGTGCCGCCAATCAGCCACCAGGGTCTCTTTTCGACCAGGTGTTCCAGTTGAAAACCAGACACCTGGCAACCCTATGCAGGGCAGACCTAGTGTTATTCCCATGTTATATACTGACCTAGTCTTATGTAAAATTCCTTCCAAATTTAACATAAGCTGATCATCTTCCTCTAGTTTTTTAAACCAGCCAGTAGAATGTAATATTGTGGCTTTAGAATTCTGTTGAATGGTTCTAAAGTCAGTAGAGAGGATACTATTCTCTATTAAAGCTACACGTACACTATGAGCTAGGGGTGTGATTCTCTTGCTCCTGTACACGTACTCGCACTACCCTCATCAAGCTAGTGTGAATATAAATAGCAGTGTATCCAGGGCAGCATGGACAGGGCAGCACAACACAGCTTAGCCAGGCCGAGTACAAACCCACCTGAACGCTGCTGTTTTCTTGGCAGCTACCAACTCCAGTCACCATATTTGACAACCTAACACCATATCCATATTAGGAATGTTGCTCCTGTGTAGTGAAATCAATTTAAAGTGAATCTAGTTACACCGGTGCAAACCCCATGGTATAGATGGACTTAAACCATTGTAAATCACCTTTAAACCCTCTTAGTTTAATGAGATACGTTATGGTTAGTAAATTGCTGCATTAAGCTAAAATTGTTGTAAACACAATTTAAGCCAGTTTAAATGCATCTGTCTATATTAGTGGGTTTGCACCAACGTAACTAGAGTGGTTTTAAATTGATCTAGTTACATGGTGCCTGTTCTCTAATGTACGTAAGACATACTTTAGTTGTGTGGCTGCTGGTGCAGAGATATCCACATAACATGGAAGGGGAGGGGTGGGTATGTCTATTGCAGCTGGAAATGTAAGTGCTGATGTTTGTTTGCTCTCATAGAAACAGTCTGCTTGTGAGGCAATAACCCCAAAAGCCTGTTTGATCTGCACATGTGATCCAGACAACTTTGTGCCCCATCCTGAGGACATACTGAGCTGAGTGAACCATCCTCAGTTCCTTCTCAACCGCCCTATAACCTGAGGCACAGCACCTTGTGCGCCTGCTTTCAGTTTAGCTGTAGCCGTTCTACTCTAGTTCTGGTATAGTTCACTTTACTTACTTAACCGTCTATCTGGACAGAACCAAAGCCAAACTGTTTGGAAAGTCTCCCAGACTGATTGTTTTCATTTGCAGACAGAGCTAAAGGACCCACAATTTCCACTCAAAGACTCGGCACTGTGGGTACGTTCTCTCTTGTTATGATGCCACCAATTTTTAGCTACTGCAAGATGTTCCAAGTTGTTGAAAGTTGCAGAGCTGCAACCTGGGCCTCAATTTTCACGCTTCCAGATCGGAGGCTGTGGTTGGCAATGCAGTTCTGTCTTCAGTGTTAGATCCGACTTAGAAGCCCTCTTCTCCTTCTGGGAGCACTGCTTAGGAGTCACCTGAAGTGGAGCACCCTGACGGACACTGCTTGAAGGAGGAGGAGAGATTACTCAATTGTGTAGTAGCTAGTGTTTTTCAATATATGTGTCCCTATGGGTGTTGCACTACCCACCCTCCTTCGCTTCTGCTTCAGAGTTTTGTCTCACAGGACTTCATGGTAGAGAAGGAACTGAGGGTGGTTCACCTGCACAGTCCTATATATCCTCACTATGGGGCATGAGGATGTTTGGAGCGCATGTGTGGGCAGAATAGGCACTCCTACCGAAAATCTCCGATCAAAGGTGCCATGGGGTGTCTGCACACCTGAAATGGAGCATCCATAGGGATACCACTCAAAGAACCATAGTTACTTCACATGGTGATTAATCTCTCCTGCTATAAATCTTCATTAAAATACTTTTCTTGATGAAATCTGGGTTTAGATTTATTAGGAACTGGGGAAACTTTTGGTAAAGGAGTCGCCTATACAGGAAGGATGGGCTCTACCTAAACCAAAATGTAACTAGATTGCTGGCACTTAACATTAAAAAGGTTGTACAGCAGTTTTTAAACTAAGGGCTGGGGGAAAGCCGACAGGTGTGGAGGAGCACATGGTTCGGACATCCCTTAGGGGAGGATCTATTAATAGAGAATCTCTATGTCCTAGTGAGGACGAGAGGCTGGAAAATGATAAAATACAGGCAGGGTCCGATCAGAAACAATCAAATAAAAAAGAGTCTCTTTCAATTACATTGTGTAATGGCAGACAGCTAAAAGGAGACAAGTTTTTAAAGTGCTTATATACCAATGCTAGAAGTCTAAATAATAAAATGGGTGAACTAGAGTGCCTTGTATTAAATGAGAATATTGATATAATAGGCATCACAGAAACTTGGTGGAATGAGGATAATCAATGGGATACAGTAATACCAGGGTACAAAATATATCGGAAGGACAGAACAGGTCGTGCTGGTGGGGGAGTGGCATTATATGTGAAAGAAAGCGTAGAATCAAATTAAGTAAAAATCGTAAATGAATCAAACTGTACCATAGAATCTCTATGGATAGAAATTCCATGCTCTAATAAGAATATAGCGGTATGGATATATTACCGACCACCTGACCAGGATGGTGATAGTGACTGTGAAATGCTCAGGGAGATTAGAAGGGCTATTAAAATAAAAAACTCAATAATAATAATGGGGGATTTCAATGATCTCCATATTGACTGGGTACATGTCACCTCAGGACGGGATGCAGAGATAAAGTTTCTTGACACCTTAAATTATTGCTTCTTGGAGCAGCTGGTCCTGGAACCCACCAGAGGAGAGGCAATTCTTGATTTAGTCCTAAGTGGAGCATGGTGGTTGAGCATGGTTCAAGAAGTGAATATAGCTAGACCGCTTGGTAATAGTGACCATAATATAATTAATTTTAATATCCCCATGGCAGGAAAAACACCACAGTGGCCCAACACTGTAGCATTTAATTTCAGAAAGGGGAAC